AAAAAACCAGGATATTTTTATAGTTTATAAGACTTTCAGACCACTGGGACACGTATTCACTTACACAGAAAGTCACTAATTACCTTCTAAAAGCCCATTTTCACAAGGTTCTTCCTTATTCCTTAGTTTTTCTTCAGGCAGGACAAATCCTGGCCCATGTGGTGAGCCCAGGTTTTGAGAGGCATTGGTGGGAGTCTGCCCCCAGCTTCTTGTGCAGTGTCAGGATGAAGATCCTCTTGATTTACTTGAAGGAGTTTCATTGCTGTCAAATATACAATTCCCATTTCTTTACAAGCTCAGATCCATAGGAAAATCCAGGCAGGAGAATCACTAAAAGGAAGAATCCCATGCCCGGTGTGGATTTTGGGTTTCTGGGATGAAACTCTGCAGTTCTGGTCCAAGCCACAGGATGGGGATGTTGGATTGAGGCTCGCTGGAACATCCCGGTGTTCAGCACATCACGACTTCAAGTCTTTTTCATAATTTAAATGTGGGGTTTCTATTTTTCTGTTTTCCCATTTTTTAATGTTTTTCTATTTTTCAAAGTCCTGAGCACTGAGGTCGGCTCAGGTGCAGCTCTGCCTGGATCTGCAGGCTCTGGCTGCCCAGAACTCATCAATAACTTGTAACTCATCAATAACTTGTAACTCATCAATAACTATCAATAACTTGTAACTTGTCAAAAACTTGGAAATTATCAATACCAGAGGCAGGTTGGATTTTTTTGTTGGTTTTTTTGTTGTTGTTGTTGTTTTTTTTTTTTTCTTTCTCTCATTTCTATATTTTCATTTCTGTTAGGCAGGGATGGATGGGATTTTGGGATTTTGGGAATTCCAGGCTGGAATGGAATTCCCAGAGGAGCTGTGGCTGTCCCTGGATCCCTGGAAGTGTCCCAGGCCACGTTGGAGCAGCCTGGGACAGGGGAAGGTGTCCCTGGCATGGCAGGGCTGGGATGGGTTGGGATTTAAACTCCTTTCCAACCTAAAATATTCCATTATTTTCTGATTGCATTATTCCCTTTTTTATTCTTCTATTTACCCCACAAAACAGCGTTGTTTTATTGTGATTAGCACATAATGCTCAGATTTATCTTGTCTCCTCACAGAGCTGTTGATTTATGGTAAAGTTGCACAAAAATATTTTGTCCTGAGAGCAGAGGATGGGAATTCCAACACTTTTTTTTTCAAGGAAGAAGATTCCATGTTGTCAGCCCATAAATAACTACAAATCCCCAGTGGGCATTGTGGTGGGGTGCATGGTGGCACTGCTGAGATTTGGGGTGATGCAAATTAAAAATTGGGGCTTTTTAACGAGAAAAGCTTGGATTTTCTTCCAGATTAATCTTTAAAAAAAGAACTGGCAGAGGCAGCCAGATTTGCCAATGCCAATGACCCCATTTGTGCTGCTTTGACACCATAAAACTGTGAGAAATCAGATAAAAAGAGCACTCAGAAGGTGCAGTTTTCTCAGCTGACTTGCCCAACTCTTGATGTTCCATAGGGAAAGGTCTTTAATAGGGAAAATGAAGTTATTCCCCCATTCTGCCTTTAGGATTTCTCTGGGGAGAGGTCACTGCCCTGTTCTCTCCCTGGAAGCTGCAATGAGAGCACTTGGCAGTGTCTGAATCACAACTTTTCCCCAAAAAACATTTTCCATGTCCAGCTGTCAACTCCACAATGTTCTATTTTATACTTATAAATTCATATATATAATACATATTTTTATATTCTATTCTATATTATTTACCTTTATATATTCCATTTTTTTTAAATCCAAGTTTGCTTGGAAACTTACACTTGGAAACCAGCAGAGGATAAGGTCTCCCAAGGTCTTCTCTATGATGACTTTATAGATTAATAATTAAATACAAGAAATTAATTTATGATTTCTAATAAATCTCCTGGGAATGGGAGCTAGGGCTGTCTACTCTCCTTATCCTGAACTGGTGGAACTGGGAATGCTGGGGGGAATCTCAGAGCTGGCTCAGCCTTTGGTTTATCTTCTCAGAGCCCTAAAAATGTTCTGCTGATGTCAAATCTCTGCTCTCTCCCCCTCACGTCGTGGAGCACGGGGAAAATCTGGGAAAAGCTCTAAAGATGGAATAATTCTGAGTCATGGAGACACTAATAAACACTCCCACACGCTGGCAGGGCTCAGGTTTGGTTATCCTAAATAGCCATAATTGCTGAAATTCGTCATATTTGGTGATTTTTGGGTTTGTTCACTAAATCAGGAGTTTCAGGAAAGCTGGGAGAAATAGTAAGAGAATATTTATTTATTCCCTTTGCCCAGAATTGTGCAGCAATTACGACAAAACAAATTTATTCCGGGTTCTGCCGATTGCCATGGAAACCCACACGGAAAATAGCAGTCCAAGGCCACTTAGCATGAGAAATCCAGAGGGCTCATCCCTGATGAACTGATTCCTGCTATGGATTTTGGGAAAGAAACCCTCCAAATGGAGACATTTCCCTGGGAGCAGTGGGAATCCTCCCAGGGAAGGCAGAAGATGCTCTGGCTTGGGGCATCTCTCCTGGGATATCCAACCTTCTGCTCTGCAGAACTGTGCCACAGGATTGGGATTTTTGGCAATTAGGGAGGGAGGACGAGTGGCTGGGCCAGGCAGAACTCCCAGGTGGGAAGGGCAGGATAATTTTAGGTGTTTCTGGGAGGCAGAGCCGTCAGTGCTGTGCTGGAGCTGCAGTTTGGGGCTCTGGGCTCGGCGCTCCCGGGACCCACTGGGGTGGGGGGACCTCGTGCAGGTGGGATTTGGAGGCTGTGAGGAATTGATTTAGGGATTGTCCTGGGATCATTTGGGTTGGAAAAGTTCTCAGAAATCATCGAGTCTAACCATTCCCTCAGCACTGCCAGCACTGCCCCATGTCCCAAAATGTCACATCCACAGGGCTGGGAAATCCCTGCAGGGATGGGGACTCCACCTGAGCCCCTTTCCATGAAGGAATTTCCCCCAAATCCACCCTGAGCTCCCCTGGGCCAGCCTGAGGCCGTTCCCTCTCCTCCTGTCCCTGTTCCCTGGGATGATCCCAAATCCCCCCGGCTGTGTCCTCCTGGCAGGGAATTCCAGAGAGGGAAAAGATCCCTGGGGATCCTCCTTTGCTCCAGACTGAGCCCCTTCCCAGCTCCCTCAGGGATTCTCCATTCCCTTCCCAGCTCCCTCAGGGATTCTCAGCCCCTTCCCAGCTCCCTCAGGAATTCTCTGTTCCCTTCCCATTTCCCTCAGGAATTCTCCATTCCCTTCCCATCTCCCTCAGGAATTCTCCAGCCCCTTCCCAGCTCCCTCAGGGATTCTCCAGCCCCTTCCCAGCTCCGTTCCCTTCCCTGGCCCTGCTCCAGCCCCTCAGGGTCTCCCTTGCCTTGAGGGAAAAACCAAAAAGTGGAGAAAACATGAGGGAAAAAAAGGTGCAGGAAGTTTGGGGAGGGCTCTGCTGCAGAGCTTTTCCCTCCTGGATCCTCCTTTGCTCCAGGCTGAGCCCCTTCCCAGCTCCCTCAGGAATTCTCCAGCCCCTTCCCAGCCCTGTTCCCACCCTCAGGACTAAAAGCTGACCTCAGTTGTTCCCAAACCAGCTGGAATGACTTTATCCCTGAGCATATTCATTTTTAGTGATGTAACTGTGATTGTTGAAATTTGTAGCTGTGATTTTATTGAAATCAAAGAGAATTTTGATTTCCCCCATTGTGCTGGAGAAGCTTCCAAATGAAAGCAGGGACTGATGGATTGATTTCTGATGTTCCTCTGTCTCCAGAAATGGAAGTGTTGAAGAAAGCATTCGGTGCTACCCTCGTGCTGAAGCTGAAAGACTTTCTCATCCTGTGCAGATTTTGTACATCACTGGTGTATAAATAAGAGCTTTGTGCTCTGAGTCATTCCGGGGGAGCTGCAGAGGAGGGAGACCTGGCAGTGCCAGCCTGGCTGTTCCTGGGCTCCAGGAGCTCGGGAAGGAGCTCTGGCACTGCCCAGTCCCACTGCCCCAGCAGTTCTGGCTGAGATCCGGGCACAGCCAGCAGGGAATGGTGCAGGAGAGCTGCTGGGGAGAGGCAGGCAAGGAGTCACAGGATATCCAGTCCCTGTGGGGATTTTAAATGAGTTGGAGATGGGACCTTTGAGTTTTTTAGATGGTGTGATTTATTTTTCTTATCTTCTACCCAGGCAGGAAGGGTGAGTTGGGCTCACATCTTCACTGCAGGGCTCAGAAGGTCACAAGACCCTCAGTTACAAGACTTCTTAAGGATTTATTGACCTATAAAACACTGCCAATGAGGATATTTATGGTTTTGATTTAAGTATTTTGTCTTATGGACTTGTATGTCAGCTTTGTTAGCCAATCATGCTATGACACACAAACCTACAGCGCTGCATTCTGAACTCCTTGTTACCTCTGGAACTACTTTTATTTTTTCTATATCTTAAACTCTAAACCTCTAAACTTTGCTTTTCCTAACTTAATGCATCTCTGCATTAAACCATAAATCCACATTCTCACTCCTAGCACCTAAGTTTGGAAGCCTTTTCCAAGGTCTCAGCTCAAATCCTGGGTTTAATTCTAACCTTTGGCTTACAAGCCCAAAGTTCTGAGAGTTCCCTGCATTTCAGATTCCAACAGGCACCCACAGGATCATTATCTGCCTCCTGGCCCTGCACAGGCACCCCAGCGATCCCAGAGAATCCCAGAATCCCAGAACAATTTGGGCTGGAATGGGCCTTAAAGTGCATGCCATGCCATGCCATGCCATCCCATGCCATCCCATCCCATGCCATGCCATGCCATGCCATCCCATCCCATCCCATCCCATCCCATCCCATCCCATCCCATCCCATCCCATCCCATCCCATCCCATCCCATCCCATCCCATCCCATCCCATCCCATCCCATCCCATCCCATCCCATCCCATCCCATTGATCCCATCCCATCCCATCCCATTGATCCCATCCCATCCCATCCCATCCCATTGATCCCATCCCATCCCATCCCATCCCATCCCATCCCATCCCATCCCATCCCATCCCATCCCAGGCTGCTCCAAGCCCTGTCCAGCCTGGCCTGGGACACTTCCAAGGATGGGGTGCCCCCAGGTTTTCTGGGAATGCTCAGTGAGGTTGAAATGCAGCTGTAAAATACCACCAGGGTTTGATAATTCCCTTTTTTACCACATCTCCAAGGCTCGAGGCAGAGCTGGAACTCCAGTCCAGGGGTTTTCCCTCTGCCCAAACCACTGAAGTGGAGCTGCTTCGCCTCCACCTCCCACTCCACCCAAACCATGTGGTGCTCCTGTTTGGAGGATTCTTGGGATCCTTTCCTGCCCTGGACTGGCTCAGTGCAGCACACAGGGGAGCACAGGGCTGGTTTTTCCCCACTTTGTGGGGTGCCCTTTCCTCCTCCTGGGAGTTTATTTTGTGTGATTTGTGGTGCTTTGTAAGAGAAGCAGGTTGGCAGTTCTGTGTTGTCACCCAGACCACAGCTTGTCGTGTTTTGGGTTCATTTTTTGGGTTGCTGGCCCAAATCCAGCCTGTTTTTCTTGCCCACGTGTCTGTTCAGGAGTGCTGCAAATCAGAGTCCAGCTCTCCAGAGCTGCTAATTAATGCACCTCCATTAATTGGCACTTCTTTCAGGTGTTGGACCTCAACCAGCTCATTTGAAATAACAAAATGGCACCGTGTGTGAAACATTCCAGAGCCACAAATGGCCATAACGTGCTGATTCCATTCATTAAATGTATTTTTGGGATTTATGAATTGATTGGTAGCACTGGAAATTACTGTGAATTACCTGTGAGGAGCATTCTGGAATCAGACATTGCTTTTGGGCTATTTGCTGGGATTTTTTGTGGTGGGAAAACGATGCCTGTGAGTCTTGCAACACAACAATTTTGTGTGGAAATGGCTGCTCAGATTCCTAAAGCTGAAGTTTAATCTGCATTATGGATGTTGGGAAGGAATTTTGGAGCTATTGTCTGTCAGTGCTCAGCAGGGAGAGGAGGAATTGTCTGCAGTAGAAGGAATATTCTCATTACCCCTTCCTACCTGCTCATTTAAGATAAAGGCATTTAAGAGTCTGCTTTCAATTAGAGCCATTTGGTTTTTTAAGGAAATGTTTTCCTGGATGTATCAGCCCTGTCAAGCTTCACTTCAGAGCTGGATATTCCCAATTCTGAGAATAACTCAGCTCTGCTCCTTTGTCACCTCTGCCCTTCCCACCCCCTCACCACCCCCGAGGTTTAGGTGGGCTCTGCAGATGAATAAACCCAAATTATCTGCATGAGGAGGAGCTCAGGGCTCTCCAGTGCCGTGGGGAGAGCGAGTGTGTGGGCAGGGACAAAAGAACCTGTGAAATCCTCAGTGCCTGCTTCCTGCTACTATGAAAAGTATTGAAGATGTTTAATCAAAACTCTTTTATTTTTATTTTTTTCCCCCATGACTAAGTCTGTAAAGCTGCTGTGCTGAACTGGGGTTAAATCCCGTGGCTCTGGGAGTGTGAGTCCAGCTTGAAGCACCACCCAGCCTTTGTGGGGGTCATTTCACCTCTGATTAAGAGCTTTTGGCCCTTCCATACCTTCCCATTAGGCAGGATCAGGGCTGGTTATGGATTTTTCACAGTGGACTTGCTCCACTTCTTTTTGTTGTATGGGATAAGCTGAGAGTTTAGAAGTTATAACAGAAATATATTTATATAAATGAGACAGAAGTCATTGGACAAAATTACACTCATTGCAGCAGAAGTGAGTAAATGTGATAGGTTAGAAAAGTAAAATAAACCCTGTGACAGCTGTCTGTTGGGTTACAAAGTTCTGTATTTCTGTATTGCCTTGCAATGAAGAAACTTGTGACTAATCTGAGCTCTGGCTGAGTGCTTGCTCCTCTCAAATCTCCCAGCCCCTGAGACTGCTGTTTATCTGAGTCATAAATCATTCTTAGCCTGAAAATAGCCCCATCCCTTCATTTCTGACAGCAGCAAGGACAATTCCTGACTCTGCCAGGCCACCAGGAGCCTTGGAGCCTGCTCACAGTCTGATGGGCAGCTGCAAACACTCCCAGTGGGACGTGCATGGGAGAAAGGGACACTGGTGGTGCCTCCTGGATCTCTATTTTTTGGGAATTTGGCCTTTGTCGTGTCCATCGCTGCAGCTCCAAGGAGAATTCGAACAGTAAAGTCAAATTATGGCTTTTTTCCCCTCCACATTCCCTCCATGCCCAGCCAGTTTTCCTTTAATCAAGATCAACAGAAGTGATTTCAGAGTATCCCATTCCCAGCTGGGTTTGGAAAGCCATCCTAAACCCACAGGTTTCCAAGAGCCAGATTTCTGATGGGAGAAATCACCCAGGAAAGCTCCACCTGCAGCTCCCTGCTTCATCTTACCCTGCTATTTTCATCCTGCTGAACCAAGAGGTGGCAGCAATATTCCCTACTAAGACATTTTATGTGTTTTATGTTAATATCATATTTAATTGCAATAATGAGCCATTTTATTTCTAGCCTGAACTGGAACAAACCCAATTTTTCATCACTGCATCAATAAAAATTCTGCTTCACGCCTCTGGTCTAGCCCAAAAAGTTTGGGTTTCCTTTGGCTGCACAGGGTGCTGGACAAAGCAGTAACTCCCAGAATTCAGTGAATTATTGTGTGTTTAAGCTGTTATTCTGCCCATCACAGCAGATCTTTCTGGAGAATAAAATGCAGTGGAAAACACATACAGGAAAAAAAGTCAACTTTAGGTCCCTTGCTAAACCTGTTCCTGCCAGGGGACCAAGGCTGAAGTCAAAGCTTTATTTTTATCCCTAAATTTTGCTAAGCACAACATGCAGAGCTACAGCAGGTGTAATATTCCAGTTCATGGCCAATTTTTTTTTTTTTTCAGGATAAGTTTCCAAGCTCTTCATTCCAACAGAGCCTGAGCTTTTTCTCCATTTGGGATGAATACATCCTTTTATGAATTTTGAGTTCTATCACCTTTTAATTCCGTGCTCCCTCATCTGGACACTGAATTAAATGCTGAGAACATGAGGTTCTGATCTGCTCCTCTATTGCTCATCATGATTATAGGCAGGGATGGCAGAGCTGCCATTAGTTATTATTCTCCACACTCCCAATTACAATATTCTGTTTTCTGCTCGTAACTCTCTCAGGCTGAGCTGCTCAGGCTGAATTTTTCCATTTTTTGTTCTCAAGTGAACTCAAATTCTCACTTGAAATATAGTGAAAATAAAAGTCCTCAAACTTTTTTTTGGGGCCACAGAAAATATTAATGTTTTCCTAATTAAAATATTAATTTTACTAATTAAAACATTAATTTTCCTAATTAAAATATTAATTAGGAAATTAATTTATTTCCTAATTAAATTTTAATTTATTAAATAAAAAGTAATACTTACTATTATTTTCCTAATTAAAATATTAATTACTTTGGGGGCCACTGAATATTAATGCTTTCCTATTTATTCCGAATTTTTGCTTCCTGTCTCGTAGGCAGTTTTAGATCTAGGACAGACTTTTCAGCAGTTTATTTTGAGTTTGGAGGTTTTAAAGTAATCTCTGTAGGGATGTTGTAAAAGACTGGGATAAACGAATGATTCTGTTCTTTTTTTTAATGCAGGGTTTGAGAGATTAGGGAAAATACAGGTCTGAACCTGCATGGAAGAGTCAGAGAGAAAAATATTAACATTTTCTAAGTGTTCAGAGCATCAGAAATGACCTGATTTAATCAAGTTTCTGGGGCTTGGAGCAGCCTGGGACAGTGGAAGTGTCCGTGCCCATGGCAGGGGTGGAATGGGATGGGATTTAAGGTCCCTTGCAACCCAAACATTCTGGGATTCTTTTGGGATTCTGTGAACTGCACATGGTTTTCAGATCTGATTCTATGAACTGCACATGGTTTTTAGATCTGTTTTCTGATCTGGTTCTATGAACTGCACATGGTTTTAAGATCTGTTTTCAGGTCTGATTCTATGAACTGCACATGATTTTCAGATCTGATTCTGTGAACTGCACATGATTTTCAGATCTGATTCTGTGAACTGCACATGATTTTCAGATCTGGTTCTATGAACTACACATGGTTTTCAGATCTCTTTTCAGATCTGATTCTGTGAACTGCACATGGTTTTCAGATCTCTTTTCAGATCTCTTTTCAGATCTGTTTTCACATCTGATTCTGTGAACTGCACGTGGTTTTCTTTCAGGACGGGCTCTGCTGCTGCAGGCACTTTTGGAATGATATTTTTTTTTTTTTCCTTTTGCAAGGCAAAAGCAGAAGTATTTTCAGTCCTTTCTGAGTGCCTGGGGTTTGGACTCGCACAGAGCTGCTGCGTTTTGGGAGGTGCTGAATGAAGGAAGTGAGAGCTGCTCCTCATCCTACATTTGGGGATTTGGGATGGCTCCCTACATCCCAAATTCCCTCCTGCCTCTGGGGGAGGGTGGCAGTGCCTGGAGATCCCTGAATTCTGGTCTTGTCCTGAGTCCCTGCTTACTGGGGGATGGTTTGGCTTTTGGGTGTTTGTTCTCCTGGAAATCTTCCTTCAGGAATTGCCAGTGGAAGGGACTGAACATCTCCAGTGGAGAAACACCAGAAATGCAGAAATAGGGTTTTTATAAGTTTCAACAAGTTTAAAATATGACCTTGCAAAAAAACTAGATAATTTAGAGAACTAGAACTGTGAAAGATGCATTGTAGCAGGACCACGTGGGGAAAAAATATAGGTGATTAGTGTTAGAAAAAATATAGCTGATTCATGTTAGAAAAATACATATAGGTGATTAGTGTTAGAAAAAATACAGGTGATGCATGTTAGAAAAAATATAGGTGATTAGTGTTAGAAAAAATAAATATAGCTGATTAATGTTAGAAAAATATATATAGGTTATTAATGTTAGAAAAATATATATAGGTGATTAATGTTAGAAAAAATATAGGTGATGCATGTTAGAAAAAATATAGGTGATTAGTGTTAGAAAAAATACAAGTGATGCATATTCGAAAAAATATAGGTGATTAGTGTTAGAAAAAATAAATATAGCTGATTAATGTTAGAAAAATATATATAGGTTATTAATGTTAGAAAAATATATATAGGTGATTAATGTTAGAAAAAATATAGGTGATGCATGTTAGAAAAAATATAGGTGATTAGTGTTAGAAAAAATATAGCTGATTAATGTTAGAAAAATACATATAGGTGATTAATGTTAGAAAAAATATAGGTGATTAATAGTTGAAAAATAGGTGATTAATAACCTATTGGCAAAACCCAATAGGCTGAAAAACATTTATAAAATATTGTAACCAGGAAATAGGGTGGCTTCTGATGGAATGGTGTTGAGTTTTACACCTCTTGTGTCTCACCCTTTATCAAGGCTGATAACAGAATAAAATCCTTTAAAACACCTCTCAGGGAAAACCAACAAATAGGGTTTCTACATGTTCCAGGGCAGTCCCGTAAGGAAGATGAGGAACCATCACTTTCAGGATTTTTCCACCCCAGAGTCATCTTTTCAGCAGGTACATAAGGAGAGGTCTCCCAGAGACTTTACAGGAAGGAGCAGAACTCACTTAAATATTCAGAGCTAAAGCCATGAATAATTGTTCTTCTCAGCTCAGCTCCCAAGTACTCTGGCTGAATATTTCAGGAAATCAGGTTGGACAAGTGGTTCCTCCTTCATTGATCTGTTGTTTCTGGATCGGTTTCTCCTCTTGGATGGGAGTCACAGAAATCTGCTGCAGGGAGCTGAGGAGTTTCCTGTCATCCCTGCCCTGGAATTCCCATGATAATTGGATTATAAAGCAGAGGCAAGGGCAATAAAATCAGCAGCCTCATCAAGGCATCCCTCTAAAGTCCCAAGGGGAAGCAGCAAACTGGGGATGAAGTTGAGCCATGTCTGCCTAGTATTTATTTTTTATTTATTTATTCTTTTAAGCTCTTAACAAGAGCAGCAAATTCTTCTTAGCACTGGGATTTAAAAGCTCTGTGTCTGACTCTTAAAGACAGCCTTTGCCCTACTCTTTGAACATGAAAACAAAATAAAACATGTAAAAGTAAAGAAAAAAAAATCTCCACGAGATCCTGTATTTACAGAAGCTGGAATTTGATTTTAGCTTGCAGGGTTGTCTTTTTGCTCACTCAAGGCTTTGTTTTCTCTAAAGAACTATTACATGATAATCATAATTTAGCAAAAATACATTTCAAGCAACCTTTTCATGAGTGTGCACTGCTAAAACTGCAAATATTTAAATGCATCTGGGAAATTAACACCGACCAGGAGCTTTCTGGGCTGTTTGCCTATTCTGAGACTGGAAAATCTTTGAGTTCATTGCTCTGTAGAGGTTGGATTTTCAGTAATGGGATGTCCTGGCATTCCCAGCACACTTCCAGTGCTCCTTCTCCCTGCAGCTTTGCTGGGATGATTGCAGCCCTGGTGGGTGTGTTCCACTTTTGATGGGATTTCCAGGATGCACTGGTGCCTTTCCCTGTTTGGGTAAAACAGCAGCAGCTTCCCATAAAGTTTGTAATTGGCTTTTAGAGAGATTTTCCCATCATTCCAACAGTTGCAGGCTGAAGTGTTGCACAGAAACTCAGCATCAGCACTTATGGCAGCTAAGGAGATTGATTAACATTCATAAGGAAAGCAGAGAAGCTTAAAATAAGGAATAAAACAAGTGCTTAATGCTTTGGCTCAGATGGTTTTTGGCAGGGCAGATAAAAATGTGGATCTCCCCTAAAAACAGAACCCCCCCCATCTCCCTTCCAGCAAGGAAATCTGACACAATTCCAGCCACAAATCCACTTTTGGACCTTCTCATCAGCCTGGTGGCCACAGGGAGCTGCTGGAGGGAATCTCTGTGCTCAGTGTCCATGGATATCCCCATGGATCCGTGCAGATCCTTCATTCCAAGCTCCTCATCTCCCAGAGGGATCCCTGGAAGATGTTCCCCAGGTGATGTGGGATCTGCTTTGCTCAGTGTGCGCCGCTGGAAGCCACAGCTGGAGCTGGCCAAGCCTTGGAGCACAGCCCTGCCTGCCTCAGGAGCTGGGATTGTCCTCTCCTCCCTGGGACAAACCCTCTGGAAGGTCTTGGATTCCTGCAGATCTCCACAGTGCCCCTGGGAAAGAGGCATTTCACAGCTCCTTAAATATAGAGGGTACCTACAAATGTAGCCCAGTTACCTCTCGCTGGAGGTGCTTCCAACCAAGAGGAAGTGACAACCGAGTCTTCACAGTCTTTAATTATAGCAGCCTTTACATAACAGTGTCAGATAAATGTGTTTTAGGATAGGTGGCACCTCGCTTCCTCCAGAAGAGCTGTCAAATTAGGCCAGACTAATTTATTACTTGAGATCCCAAGGATTAAAGCACACTGTCCACCCAGTCTGTTTGAATAAAACCTTAAAATTCACTGAATCCTCTGTGCCAGGATGTATCCCAAACAGCACAATCCTCCTTTCTTTTGAAACAGAAATACTGGATGTAAATCCCTATTCCTCTGGTGGCTTCAAGGACTTCCAAGTGCCACAAATCCCATTCTGCTGGAAAACAGGGTTAGAGGGGATCTCAGGAGGTTCTCCTGGCTGTGCCTCCACCCAGGGCAGAAGCTGCTGTCACTGCACCAGATTCTTATCTAAGCTCTATTATAAAACAGAGGAGGAGGGAGAGAGGCGGGGAAATTGCTTTAGAGGGAGAAGGGGCAAGGAGTGGGGCTGTGCCAAGTAATTTAGGAGAGTGAGGAACTGGCTGCCTTCCCACGGATGGATGGATGGATGGATGGATGATGGATGGATGGATGGATGGATGGATGGATGGATGGATGGATGATGGATGGATGGATGGATGGATGGATGGATGGATGGATGGATGGATGGATGGATGGATGGAGACTGCTGATGGTCCTTTCCCTTTCCATCGCTGAAATCCATCCCTGGGCTCTTCGGCTGATGGCAACAAGAGCAGCTTTCCCTGAGGGGAGAGCAATTTTCCTCAGCTGGCCCCGGAATCCAGGCGGGACAAGATGAAACCCGAATTTTGTGTTCATGGGGAGGATGCTGGTGGAGACTGTGGGCTTTGGAGCCCTCTGTGTGCTGGAAGGAGCTGATCCATATCCCAGCCTGCTTTTAATGCAACCACTAATGCTCTTTGCTAATGTGCCCTTGCCTTCTGGGGGGTTTTTACCTCATTATCCCTGAGTAATGTCAGCAATCCATGGCCTGATTGAGAGCAGGGAGAGGCCAGCAAGAACTTGGCTGTGCTGGTGTGTCAGAGTCCAGCACATCCCCCTGGCTGCCCTGGCTCCAGACCCTCTCAGGGGCTCGGAGACCTTGGCACAAAGTCAAAAACACCTGTGGCTTCCATTTTAGCCCGTGGAATTTGTGTGAGGAATTACAAGCCACAAGGGTTTGAGTAGTGTGGCAGTTAACACAGGGTGATAAAGTAGAATTTTGGGGTTTTCAGACTGTGATTCAGGAGTACAAGATGGAGGGATTTGGGTGTGTCCTGACCTTCTTCTCCTTCATCTTGCCCTCCATGTCTTGCTGTGATGAAACCCAAATTTTCTATTGTTTTAAGGTAGAGACACACTGTCCAACATAAATGATAGATATTGGCACGTTATTGTAAACGTGCCAGAGCTCAGCAGGTCAGAGAAAGAATGTTGTAGATAAGGGAAAATAACCTTGAGAAGCCAATCCTACACATTCAGACTCCTTTGGCTGCACGGGCTGGGAAATGAGGGCTGGGAAATAACACCTGAGGAAAGAAGCAGCGAGTGCTGCTCCACTCAGCAGATCCCAGGTGGAAGTGGGATTAAGGGAGAAGAGGCTGACTCCCATCCCGCTTGGCGCAGTGCGGTGCCGAGGCGAGGGAACAATCTGGATCCTGCGTGTTTATTTATTCCAGCAGCACTTCAGTGTGTTTATGCAAATAGTTCATTGCTCCAGCTCCTGAAAGAACCACACAAGTGCTGTCACTTGATTGAGGAATCATTAGATCGGGCTGGAAATAAAATTTTTTCTGGTTCTGTATTCACACCCTCGGAAAAAAAAAAAACAACCAAACCCAGTGCTCCCATATTTGGGTAGCTCAGGACTGACTAAATAATGGATATTTTGGGATAGATGGATGCACGTCTCAGAGAGATTTCCTTTGTACTCTAATTAAAAATAAAGAGGACGTGAATAATCTCTAATGGCAACAGAGTATTTGGAGGAAGTCAAGTATTTTTGGAGGATTGTGGATAGTGAAAGTATTCTGAGTGCTGAGCTCTTCTCTTTCCCCCACCTCCAACATGAAGATATTTTAGTCTGGGTTATGTCCTCAGTGACTTGTTGGGCATTAAAAGTTTTGGGTGACTCGTGGTCTTTGTTTACATCTCTTTCTTTTTTGCATCTCTCCTGTGCTGTTGTAAACGTGGAGTTGTGGGCTCTGATTAACATCATCAATGAATGCTATTAAAAAATGAATAACACAGCAACTGAAGCCATTCAAAAAATGCCATTTTTTAAAGCTTGGACTTTACCAAGGCTCATTTCAGCTCTTTAGCCACTGCATGTTTTCAGCAGGTCATTCCTGTAGTGTTGGCCAGTGGAATTCCCGTTGGATAACATCAGCTCCATTCAGCCCCCTGTTCCCTCAGCACATTTATTATATTTATATAACTTCACAGCTTAAAAGAGCTGGGTGTCTTCCTCCCTCACCTCTGTGTGTGTTTCTTGGATGAATTACCTCATAATATTCAAAACAGCCTTTGATTTAGAATTTAGAATTCCTCTGTATTTTTATAGCATCTTTTAGGAGCCTTTGGAGTTGAGTCATTAAACATATATTTTTAATAAGCTCTGTGTCTTAAAAGGAGAGTTTGAAATGTAAGGACTGGAAATCAAATAGGGATTCCCCTGACTTCAGAATTGTTTTATTACAAATCTATGTGAAGTTCACTTCTTTCCCTTCATCTTGCCATTTCACAGCCTTTTGTTTGTTAAATTTGAGCTGACCAATAATTTTCGTAGTTGATTCTTTCAATCTGGAACATCACAGAAGTCTGTAGAACAGGCTGTAAAAATTAACTCCTGGATTGGGAGTTTTATGAACATTTTAAAGACCGTTTTAGAGGCTGAGATCCTCCTCCATCAGAATTAGTAAATTGGGAATAAGACTTAGTACAACTTAGGGGAATCTTCCACTGAATTTGTAAGAAACTGTGACTATGGGAATATCCACAAGAATAACACCTTTGGCTTTGTTTCAGGTGTCTGTTGGACACTTCCATGGGATTAGTGGTGATTTTGCAGAACTGATGGAAGCTTTTGGAAGGAAAAATGGATGAAGCAAATGGAAAACACAAATAGGAAGTGTTTGTGAAACTGCAGTAGTGGATCAGATTGCACTGAAGATGAGATTTTAAGTAATTGTTTTAATAAGAGTAGGAAGTAAATTGTAAATTAGTTTTGTCATTAGTGTTTAATTATTTATTGACTTTTTAATCACGTAGTGTTACACCAGAAGTTTAATTTGTAGAGCTCCAGGAGGAACCTGTTTAGAGACTTTGTTTCTTAATTTAGTTGTAAATCAGGTTCACACTTCTGTTCTTCTAATTCTTGGTATTTAGGATTTGGTTTTCTTGTTCCCAGACATTGTGTGTATGTGTTTTCTGCTTAAATTCTTAGTGTTTAGTCTTAGTGGCTTCAGGGTTTAATGTTCCAAATATTGTTGGGAGGTGGATGGATGGTTTTTTTTGGAAACCACCCACTGTTCTCTGTAGTCTTGAAGAAGAAAGGCTGTATTTTATTGTAAATAAATCACAGAATTGGGCTGGAAGGGACCTCTGGAGACCATCCAGCCCAGCCAGGGTCCCCTGGAGCAGTGACACAGGAATGTGTCCAGGTGTTTGGAGTGACCTGGAGGCTCCAGCCCTCTCTGGGCAGCGGTTCCAGTGCTCTGCCACCTTCACGTTAAGATGTTTTTCCTCATGTTGAGCTGGAACTTGTGTTTTACTTTATGGCCATTGCTCCTCAACCTGTCACTGACACACTGAACGGAGCCCGGCGCCAGCACATTTTGGAGATATTTGTATGCATTAAAGAGGTCCTACCTCAGTCTTCTCTAGACTATACGGTTTTGTTTTATTTTAAACCGGTTTTATTACAAATAAGCAAGGCACAGCAGCCGCCGCCATCACCCGTGAGGCGCCGTGAGGCGGCGCCAGCGCGCAGCGCCGCTCGCGGGCGGCGCGTCCCAGCCAATGGCGTGGCGGCAGCGGCGCGGCTCAGCCAATAGCGAGGCGGCGGCGGCGCGGCTCAGCCAATGGCGGGCGGCGGCGCGGCGGGCGGGAAGCAGCGGGGCAGGCGGGCGGGAGGGGGGCGGCGGGAGGCGGCGCCGCCGCAGCGCTGAGGGAGCTCGGCCCCGCCGCCTCACCGCGCTCCGCCGCCGCGCTCCCCGGCCCTCCGGCCCCGCACCGGCTCTCCATGTACGACAACTTGTACCTGCATGGGTTTGAAGACTCGGAGGCGGTGAGTGCCGCGCAGAGCCGCACGGGCGGGCTTGGGTGTCGGTGCTGCGGGCGAGGCACCGGGGGTGATGTTGTGCCCCGAAGATGCCGGGACGGGCTGCTGTGGTTCCCCGGGGAATTATCGCTGCCCGGCATCCCTCACCGGGCCGTGCTGGGGCAGCACGGAGCCCCGGTGCCGCGGTCGGACGCCCCGGTGTCCGGGGTGTTCGCGGGATCGCCGCGGCGCTGGACACGCTGCTCCATATTAAACAGGGATCCGTTACATAAGGATTGTGGACAGCTCGTAAAATACATCGATAACAACATCATATAGGGTGTGCGTCAATGCAGACGTATGTATGGTATGATGTGGTGGCCTCGGGAGAATGGATGGGTCCTGGAGGGCTTCGGATGAGGAATTTTTTCTTGCCTGTGTCGGTGTTGGTCTGGAAGAGCGACCCCTCTTAAGTGTTACCTCTTTTTAGCATCCCTTTATTTTAGCATCCCTTTATTTCAGGGAGAGAGGAACAACAACTGGGTAAAACTGACATTAATGCAGTGCACCATGTTGAGAGGAAATACCGTGTATTGGAATCCTTCTGAACTGGGTGTTTGAATTATTTCAAAACTCTGCTGCTTAGAAGCCTGGAATGGTTTGGGTTGTAAGGGTTTAAAGCTCATCTCACGGGCAGGGAGACCTTCCACCATCCCAGGTTGCTCCAAGCGCTGTCCAGCCTGGCCTTGGATACTTCAAGGGATGAGGAAACGCTTTGTGCCAATTTAGAAATTCCTGCCCTTGTGTGTTAACTCTTCCTTTGGGCTGTCTCTGGCTGCTGCTGCTCACAAGCTGCCAGGCCGAGTGCAGATGAGTGTGTTGATTCCTTTAGGGATGTGATTTGGGATCCAGCTGGATGTTTCTATAAACCAGGCAAACTGTGAGTCCTTGGGAGGTGTCCTCCATCCCAAGTCTGTCTTGTGCTGGTTTAATGTCTTCCACCAAAGTCTGACTACGCTCTGAAGAAGACAATTTAAAAGTGCAGTGTTAGGGCTGAGAAAACTGAGTTGCTGTGGAAGAAATGTGTAATTTATAAAATGTGTAATTTATAAAAGTTCCTCAGAGAATGCAGGTAAATGTGTGCTGGATCTAAAGGTGCTTCTGAGATGCTCAACTCCGTGCATTCCCAGAATCCCAGAATTCCCAGAAGGGACCCTGGAGAGCTCCCAATCCAACCCCCTGCCAGGGCAGGGCCACCTGCAGTTGGTGACACAGGAATGCATCCAGGTGGCTCTGGAATGTTTCTGGAGACTCCACACCCTCCCTGGCCAGTCCCAGTGCTTGTTCACCCTCCATGGAAATAAGTTCTTTCTCATGTTGAGGTGGAATTTCTTGTGGTTTAATTAATATTTCAGTAAAGCCCGGTGATCTCTTCCAAAAGCGTTATTTGGGAAAAGCAGCTTTAATGGCAGCAGAACCTACCTGTTGCACAAGCATCTGGGTTAGGATTCGTGCTGGAAGAATTTGGTTTATGGATGAGAGGAACTTGGTCTTTATATGTCCACTTGGAAGGACTGGGATGAAAAAGTAATTTCCAGATTCCCTAAATATCTCTTAAGCAGTTTATGATAATGTAATTTTGCAGCTTTTTAAATTTTACAGCCGCTCTGTAATTGACAATGCTTTTGCTAGACGTAATTTCCAGAGTCACAGCAATATGTGAGAACCTCCCTTTTCTTAATAAAAACACCCCAAACCTTAAAAGCAATCTGCACCTCCCAGTTGTGTGGAAAAACTGGAGGCTATAAACAGCAAAGGCTCAGGCACAAAGCAGTTAAAATTCCCCGAGTGTCTGTTTGCTTTATGCTGCTCAACCACTTGCTTAAAACATTAAACCTTATTATTTTAGCTCCTGACTCAGGGATTGGGAATGCCTGCTGAGACAATATCCTGGCAAACAGGTAGCGGGGATGGGTCACATGAGTGCCACTTTCTGGCCAGGGAGAAGCAAGGGAGAGGATTGAGACGGCGGAGAAGGAATTGTGGTGGAATTCTGGTTCCCTGCGGTGCAGAAAACCGAGATGAACGCAGGGCCTCTGCATTGTTCTGGTGTAGGACCTGGAAGCTCATCCTGCCGCTGGAGGATGGAGCAGCCCAGGCTCGGATCCTCCTGCTGCCCTGGAGCACCCGGAGCTGGGAGGGACGGCTCTGCTGATTGCAGCGCTTCCAGCACGGAATAAACCACAGCCACATGAGTCACTGGCACTGAACGTCTGCCTAAAGTGGGCATTTGATCTCGTAAAACCATCCAGCCTTGTGTGCAGAGTGCAGCTTGGGTTTGCATTAAAGCCAGGAGTGAATGGGCAGTGAGTGGCACTTATCCTCACTTATGCTCGATTTTGGAAAGGTGCTGTAAAATCTATACCTAATTTCTCCCGATTCACTGCTCAGCAGCAAACATATTTTTTAACACTGAACAGATATTTCCATGACTTTTCTAACAGCAACTATTATTATAATGTGTTTGTGTGTGTACATATCTATAAAACAAGCAAATAAACAGTTTTTATTGATGGATATATAAAGACATGAGTGTGTGCATGGTATTACAGTCCATTAGCAGCTGTGATGATTAACGTGAAGTAGGTGATGCAGTAGCTGGTGTGAGGCTTTTTGGAGGAGGAAAATTGCACTGCTGAAGCTGAGGACTGTAGACAAAAAGTTGTTTCCACGTTCTGCAGGGACAAGTGTCCTTGTCAGGAGCACAGAAACACGGAGAGTGCATCACCCTAGGGGGAAACATCTTCCCACTGAAGGTTTTTGGGTTGTTCTAAACAGGGTCACCCTTTTGGGAATTAAAGTTTGTTTGCCTTGTAGGGAAGCATTTCATGTTTTTGATCACAAGAGGATATAAAAGCCCGTTAGCACAGGGGCTTAAGGCAGTGAGGTTCCCTGGGTGAGCAAATAATACATGAATTTTGTTTTACCTCTC